CCTCTTCCGACATTCCGCAACGCCTATCGAACAGCCGTACATTGGAACTGAAAGAATTGCGCAGATTGGGCCGATTCGAGGTTCATTTGGCCGGTGCCGGTTCCGAGGGGCATGCAGGAACGAACGTAGGCTCGGGCGTAGCACCTCTCAGCGCGCCTGCGCTCGAGAAGCTTCGACCTGAACGCAGCGATACTCGTCCCAGCATGAGGAGCAGACAAGCGACGATCAGCAGTCAGTCCCACTCGCACGCATCCAGATCCCAACCTCGTCGCGACGATCGCATTCTCGAAGCCGAAGCGGAAGCGCAAGCGGCGACGATGGCGGCAAGCTTAGCATAGCATAGCGAACCGACTTTCCCCCCCCCCCTTCCTCGCGCTTGTACAATCGCCGCCGCCGCGAGTAACACGGCGATGAGAAACGCGCTGCCCCTTGATTGTATGCTACATTCCTTGCCCGCATCCGCGCGTCGATGGTCATCATTTTCTAGCCCGAGTCCGAGTCCGAGGTTTGCTTGCCACCTAATCGAAGACGGGATGACCGGCAGATTGGGATGGTGCGCACCAGTCGATCCGGACCAGACCCGTTCCCGTTCCCGAAGCTAGCAATGTAGCTCTACCGATATTGGGCGACCAAGCGACGCTCTGAACGCCTATGCAAGGCATCCAACTCGACCCGTGTCCTTCCTCTGCAAACGCCTGTTGTGTCATCGTTGGTCAGCGAAGCCAGCGAGCGCGTGCGCACCCGCCCGCCTCCCCCTCATTATTGTCTTTCCCTACCGATCTTGAGGACTCACTCGAGGTAGGAAATCGTCGAGCATGCGCAGCTCTCCTGTTGACCTGTTCACCTCCAGCCTAAAGAGCAGCACGTTGGCCTATACGAAGCCGCGCTCCGGGTCAGCCAGTCACGTAAACCAGACCCGTGCCAAAGGGGCGTGCGCGCGGACGCAAAAGATGCGACGCCAAGCAGGGCTTGCTTGCGGACGCTGGCTTGCTGGGCTCTGCTCACCTTATTTGGACCCCTTGTAGCGGCGACCCTGACAAGGTTGAACAGGTACACGCCTCCATTTGCGCTCCCTGCAGCAACAAGCGGATGATTGCAGCTGGCCTTGACAGTCTG